ATAATGGCTTTATTCGTCTCGGCAGTAAGTCTTACATATACGCGTGTTCTTGCGTCAGTTGCTGACAATGAATGGTTTGCTAGTGCTCGTTCTGGGAGCAAGCAATATTCGCTTGGTGATTGAAAACTGGATGAAATATGGCCTCCTGATTCGTTTGCCGCACAGTTACATTCCGTATCAGGATTATGGACTGTTTGTGCTCGCCTGGTTGAGTGTGCCCCTGTCTCTGGGTTTGACACTTCTCGTTGAACTCGGGCTGTCTCGCCTTGCTATCATGGCTCGCGACAATAAGCCCGATTTCCATTCCAAGGTCGCCATCATCCAACGTCTCGCTTCCATCGTCCATATCTCCCATCTCACCTTCCTCATGTCATATCCGTCATATATCGTCTACACCAAAATATACCATCCACTCGGTAAGTCGCTGCCCTCTGTGTGCGTGTGTGTGTGTGTGTGTGTGTGTGTCTGCCATATAGCTATAAATATATATATGTACTTATACCTTCCTTTTCATGTAACCATAATAGTCGGCTCTGCAGTCGTGTTCATCTGCCTGATCACCTTTCTGAAACTCGTATCGTATGTCCTCGTCAACCGAGAAATGCGGCAGCTATATATCAATAACAAATCAGACGAGTACATGGACGGCGAAGAGGCTCAGTATCCCAACAATGTCAGCTTCAACAACCTCATCTACTTCTTCTTTGCTCCCACCCTCTGCTATCAACCCTCGTATCCTCGATCGCCCGAGTTTCGTACGACCTTCTTCCTGAAACGCGTGGGAGAACTCATTGTCTGTCTCGTGATGATGTACGTCTTGACAGAGCAGTATGCCAAACCGACGCTTGCCAACTCCCTCCAAGCTCTCGAAGACCGCGATCTCGTCGTTATCTTTGAACGTGTCCTCAAACTATCCACAACAGCCGTTGTCATCTGGCTGCTCATGTTTTATGCCTTGTTCCACGCTTTTTTGAATGCGCTCAGTGAGGTCCTCCGCTTCGGTGACCGTACCTTCTATCTTGCATGGTGGAACTCGGGCAACCTTGCCACCTACTGGCGTCTCTGGAACAGACCAGTCTATCTCTTCTTCAAGCGCCATGTTTATATTCCTGCCGTCCAGTGCGGTATGTCCCCCGCTATTTGTCAGCTTCTCGTCTTTCTCGTTTCCGCTGTCCTTCACGAGGTCCTTGTCGGTATACCCACCCATGCTATCACAGGCTTCGCCTTCTGGGGCATGTTTGGCCAGATCCCTTTGATTGCCCTGACCCGTGCCCTTGAAAAGTGGCGTGGAAAGGATAGCGCCCTCGGCAATACGATCTTTTGGTAAGAGTTTCCAGCGGCTGAGATGTGTTTGTATATCCCTAATACATATAATAGGATCACTTTTTGCGTCGTTGGCCAACCCACGATTGCGCTTCTGTATTACTATCAATGGGCTGCTGCCCATAAGACAGCAGTTATCTCGACATTCTCTCCTGCATCTTCATAATTTCCCTAAAAAGCTGTTATTTCCTAGCATCTTCCATATTAACTTCATTTTTGACAATGATTTCTCCCTTCCTCTCCATCTTATTTTTCTAGTACTTATGCATCAATTTATAAGTTGCGCTTGTGCGCGAAGCGATGGTGAGCTCTAAGTCATTGATGGAGCAAGATGAACAACCATCAGATCTTGCGTAGTAAACTGTTTATGAAGTGGCCTACAGTTGCAGATGTCAGAAGTCGAAAAATCCCACTTTCGAAGACCATTTATACTATCGATAAAAAGAATCCAATTGCCCGCTCCACAAAGGTTATGAAGTTGCACCTTCTGTAAAATGGACAAAAAATAAACATACGATATGCCTTTTTGACGGACAGCCCTGATTTAAGCGTTATCTCTGAAGTAAGTGCATAGTCGGCCTTGTAATGGTCATGAGTATTCAGGTAGGCTCATATATATGTGTCCCGAAGTGTTCTACTATAAGAGTGCGTTTACAGGTCTACCAATTAATAATCTTTACCAATTGATTAATCATTTCTCTTGGTCTCAACCTCATATTAGTCTGTTATTATCACATTTATTTGATGATCAATGTCATGGGATAACATTTGCGTCTCACCATAAACTTACCGGCCACAGTTTAGCTTCTTTTTCCCTCGTACTTTTCTCTGTACTCGATACACTATCTAACTAACGTAGCTAACGAATATGACTAAAGATGACCGTTTGTCTTACTAGTTACTCTGCCGCAATTGGTAGAAATTGGTCTGCGACGCATGGTCGACATCACGCTCTATATGTACAGTATCACTGCAGCCAGTCCCCAAGACGATTCGCAGTTTGAGCACGGACGCGGAACGTTTGGATGCTGGGTTAGCCAGCAAACGCAATAAAGTTCACGAACTCGCGGTAGTCATGAAACTGCGTCCAATGTGCAGGATAAAGGAAGAGAAGTGGCATGGTGTCGAACTCGAGACAACTATCGGCTGCCATATCAATATCTAGTCGGTGAGATCTTTGCCATTTCAAATCGTGACATTAATATCAATCATTGGTTGACAGTAGCGATGGTGATGGCGTCCTCCGCAGAAGATCATTGAGAGGCCCAGATCAGTCAGTCGAGTTCCATATCAAAAGGTCTAGCACGAGGTCTCAAAGACGGCGGCAAGTTTCTGCAGATCATTATATTCGATCCATCCAGACCTGACAAAGTATTTGCCAACTGCAAAACTGACTGACGTTGCGACAGACGTCACGGCGCGGAGGAGATTAGTGCGGTGGATAACGCAGGCCTTTTCAGGACGCCCATCTTCGTCGAGCATGGCCAGGAGTGTCTGGTCTCGAGTCCCGGGTGACGGCTGGGTCAATTGATTTTGACACCGTAGTAGCTCAGATGAGTAGTCAGATCCTCGATAAATTCATCATCCATGAAAAGAGCAACGACGCCTCGACTAGGGAAATGAACATGCAAAAATGCGGGAATTATCTGTCCCTAATTCTTCTAAAGCATGACGCGCGTCGGTGCTCTTACTGTGCCGTAGGTTCAAGTACACGTATTTGTAGCACTTGGCATGAGAGATACGGGCGTTGGCAGCAGTTTGACATTGCTTTAAGTCACGACTATGATAAGTGGAAGGATGATAAACGGGTTCACGACGGATGGCAAGAGATATTATTCGCAGTAGCAGCGATCTTTTGTCATTGTCGGTGCCGTCAGAGGAGGGCGGCACAGCAGGGATCGCAAGATTGTCCTGGTTAACCACGTTGGGAGGCGCATGATTGGGACTTGGCGTGTGAGTGGTTGGCCCTGTCGGTAACCAGGTCCCCGGGCCTGTCATTCTCAACAGACGAAGATAGGCAGTCATTGATATTGTCATGAACAACTGGAGCACGGTGCTTGGTACCGCAGATATTGGCAAGCTGCGCTCGCAGTTGCGCATGTTCTTCGAATAATTGTATGTTGCACTCCATCTTAAGCAAAGAGGCAGCGTTCTCAGCGAGCAAGACCTTGTATTTGTCGAGCCGGCGATTGCTCTTGGCAATCGCGTCTGAAAGGCTCTCAAACTTGGCGAACGCTTTGCTGCTATCGTCGTTGCTGTTGTGAAGGATACTGACGGGCAGATATAGAGGCATATTATGCTTATTTTTCTTGGTCTTTGAGTATCGTGCGTACCTCGGGGATCTGGCCACTGGCGGTTTTGCGTGCAAAAGCGATGAAAAGAAGCCTTCATTGTTCCTTTTTATACTTATACGAATTGACCGTAAAAGTAAAAGAGCGCGTATAGATTCGGGATACATGTGTTTGGTTCCTGAACTGAGCCTCCTTTAAATGCATTGCTTTGGAGATGCTGATGGCAGGTTCAGTATTCTCAAAAGTGTTTTGAAGAAGGAATCAGTGTATATCATTGGAACAGGAACAAAAACGGCAATAAATTTCTGAACCGAAATGCTCGAGCTTCAAGCGTGCTTCGGATAAGAAACTATGGTGCTAACCAATGCTTGTTAAATGTTCAACAGAATTAAATGCAAAGAATATCTTCATAATCATACGCAGATACCGTTCTACTGCATCTTTTCAAATGAATTGTAGATGCTTCCACATTGATTTAGGCATTCTAGCTCATTTACGTGATTAAGTTATTATTCATCGCACGACTGCATTGCAGCGCTCCCTGTATCATCGCAGGAATAAATATTAAAAGATGAGCATGATTAAATTCCCCCAAATCTCTATTGACCTGAAATTAACACAAGTATCTGGTGCCATATTCTTCATAAAGTCAATGTAGGCGGTTGTGCTGACGGGGGGGTTTGCTCGGTGGTTTCAAGAAAGAAAGGTTGAAAAAACGTTACAGTGAGCACCATTCAAACCATAGGTTATGCATTTCGCGTGTACGAATAGAGAAGTCGTGTAGAAAAAATAAACCAGAGAGAAATGCACTGGAGAGGCTTCGTGTAGTATTATATGCTTTGATTTTGAGAGTTGGAAGGTAGGAGACGGGTGCGGAAAGTTTTGAGTTATTGGGATAGACCAAAAATTGGAATGTGGTCAATTCCATCAGCTGGGGTTTGGTAATCGGTGATTATATGCGAAGAACAGACAGAAAGACCTAAAGACGGGAAGAGAAAAAGAAGGGGAAGAAAAATAAAAGGGAAAGCGAAGTGAATCATCACCTTACAGTGCTATTCTCCGCACAGGCTCAGATTCTTGCATTCGTCCGGATTCCAGTTGCAAAAATCGAATTCATACGTTGGCAATGGACACACATTCTTTCTGCAAATTTTTTCTTGGGGAAAAAGAGTTCAGCGAGATCCAATCCAATGACTGTCAAACGAAAAAATGCTCGACTGTCTCAGGGAGAGAAGAACAAACAATGTCAAAAGGCATTGATACTGGAATCAAGAAAGGATATCAGTATTTTACCTTATTTGGAAAAAACAAAAAACAAAAGATGATGATTTACCTGTATATATATATAGTATCTTTGAACGTGCCTCAGGGGTAATCAGCTCTCCGGGGGATGTAGCTCAGGGGTAGAGCGCTCGCTTCGCATGCGAGAGGCCCCGCGTTCAATTCGCGGTTTCTCCACAGGATTTTCAACTAATGAAAAATGTTCCTTAGTGTTTTTGCTATTTTATACCATATTTTGCTCCTTTTTTACAACAATTTTCTTCTCTCGGGAGAGCGGTAAAGTCCATGCTTTTGAATGCAAGAAACGTCATTGGTTAGATACGCGTTTTTTCGCAAGCAATGCAGGCGATCGATGGAGGACGCCGGCGCAGCGACTTGAACAAGGCGATCGGTTCCTGGAGACGAGACGACGGAAAGCAGTCCTGGCTGCGTCCCAAGTTTTCTCCCTCCCCAAACCGAGCCAACACGGAAACCTCGAATTTTCCCCTTTGCCACCGGTCTCTTCACCCATCACCAAGGACAAAAAGTCCACCAATCTTCCAACGCGCCCTCTCTCCCTCTTCCCCCCCTTCCCCAACCACCAGCGCCTCTAACAACACCATCACCCAATGAGTGATATTACAATCACAATTTGGAATGGCAATGGCCTCGCCAAAGAGACTATCAATATGTTAACAGACGCGTTCACTGATTCTACACTCCCCTTTATTACAGAAACATGGCCCCATTCTACTCTCCTCTACCCTACACATTGGACGCAATTCCACAATTACGGCAAACTCGTGAACCACTCGACCCGTGGTCAAGATGATATCGCTTTGTTGGTTAATCCAGCACGCCAACATTCCGTTTCCATCCTTCCTTCCTCGTCCTCTTATCTTCTTTCTTGTCAGATCTCTGACACTCTCATCCACTGTGTATATCACCCTCCGTCCCTCCCCGCCGATGTTTTCTCTTCCTTTCTGTCCTCTATCCCGCTTTGCACCCATCCTTCCCAGCACCACGCGATCATCTGGGGTGATTTTAACGCGCGCAGCACACAGCTCTTGGGTGATTCCAGATCCAACACACCGGGTATGGTTTTATTTGACTGGATTCAAATGAACCAACTCATCTGCTGGAACACACACTTTGCTTTTGGTCAACATACCTTCCAATCAGATCGTACAGATGCTGATAGCCGCAGCGTCATCGACCTGTTCTTCAGTACCAATCCGCTCGAGAATGTCAGCCTATACGTTGATTATGACCATCATCTTGGCTCTGATCATCGTGCTGTCCATCTGTCATACACCCCGTCCTTGCCTCCTCCTCCTGCTGACGCACACCCACGACTACTCTGGCCTCTGAGCAAACTCTCTGATCCCTATCCTCGAGCCGAGTATGTCCGTGCTTTCCGCCGACGCCTCCATCACCTTGCCGCCACCCTGAAGGACATGGTCGATGCCGACCCGCAAGAACAACAACCACCAGGCCTCGACCACCTTGTCGCCGAGCTGACCGACACCATCCATGCCGCTCTCGATGAATCGGTCGGCCGCCGTAAGCCGCGCAAGCGCCAGCCCACCTGGTTCTGGAATGACGAGCTGGAAGACGCTCATCGCCATCGCGAACTGTGCCATCGGCGCATGTCTCGAGCGCGCGACCCACTCAAGAAGGCAGTCTGGGCTGCCAGATATGAGACCGCAGCCTTTGAGTTCAAGGCCAAATTGCGCCAACGCCGTCGCCAAACCTGGCAGCACTTCTGTGGCAAACTTGCCACGCAGAATTCAGCAAGACCGCCGCCACCATGAAGAAAATCTGTTCGCGCCGGCAGATGCACCCGTTGTTTCCGGACCCGGGAGGCCCTTCTGTCGCTGCTGAACGGATGGTCAGTCACCTCGGCTCTGTCTTTGACGGCAAGTTCCTTCCTTCCTCTCGCATTCCTTTTCCTCCGTCCACGTCGGCTCCTCACTCGTTTGATGACTGTCCTTTCTCTCGAGCTGCAGTGCTGGATGCTATTGACTCTGTCGCTTGCCGCAAGGCTCCTGGTCTCGACCACCTGCGTGCCGAGATGCTGACGCCAATCAGCATGTACCTCGCTGCTCCCTTGGCCTGGCTGTTTCAACTCTGCTGGCGCTGGTCAAGCACCCCCGCTGCATGGCGCATTGCGCAAGTAGTGCCCATACACAAAAAGGGGCCGGCCACAGATCCTGCTAATTTTCGGCCCATCAGTCTTCTCTCCGTTTTCCGCAAGATCATGGAACTGAGCCGTACCACCCTTTTACATGCTTGCTCCCCTCCACTCGACCTCGCCCAAGGTGGCTTCCGCCCCCAGAGAGGTGCTCTGGACCAGGCTTTGTGCTTGCACGAGCCATCCGTCCATCACCTGCTCCACCACAAAGTTCGTCCCGTCATCGTCTTCTTGGATATCAAGTCGGCGTATGACACCGCCGATCGTGACGTGATTTGGCGCGCACTGACACCCACTTCTCCTCCTGCTTTCCTTGGCCTGCTCCGTGATCTCTTTGTCAATGCCCGGGTGGAAATTCTCCTGTCTGGCGCAAGGTCAAGACGCATCAGCCCCGCCACAGGTGTACTTCAAGGCTCCACACTCTCGCCGCACCTTTATTCTATCTACATTAACACGCTTCCTTCCCTACTACGCTCAATTACACTTACTAATGATCCTGATTTCTCCCCAGCTCCTTTCTCTTCGCGTCGTCTCGGGCCGTCACGTCGGGTGGTAAGAAATGACCAATGGATGAATTCTCTCTTGTACGCCGACGATGTCGCTTTGATCGCTACTCCTTCCCTGATGCCGTTGCTGCTGCGTCGCGCCGAGCAACACTCACACGAGCTCGGATACCGCTGGGATCCAGCAAAATGTGTCGTCCTCAATCACCAGCCCTCCGACCCCGCTCTGGAGCTGTACGGTCAGCCGCTACCTACAGCTACCACTTTCAAATATCTTGGCGTGCCTTTTGACGATTCCACTCGGATCTCCAACAAGGCACTCGTGATGCAGAACGTCGGGTCTGCTGTCACCGCCATGCGTCTCCTTCCGTCCATCGGCTGCAACCCCAGTGGTATTCCTCGTCTCCTCGCTGTCCGTATCTACAAGCAGTTCGTCAGACCCAAGCTTGAGTACGGACTAGCCCTCACCAACCTCGCTGGCACGCATCTTCGGGTGCTCGAGGCTGGCCAAGTAATTGCTTACGCATGATCTTTGGTGGTCACCCAACTTCCTCGACCACAGTCTTCCGCCACATGTGTAATTTACCTACCATGTCTGAGCGCACGCACATCCTCGGTGTCAAGTTCCTCCCTCCTTCGTGCTCTCTCGCTGCCACCTGACGCCTTGCTGCCGATGATGAGCCCTTTTCTTTCCTCCTCGAAAAGTTTCGCCTTCGCAAACTGCGCGAGTGGAACCAGATACTGGCAAGCCCTCCCCGACCCCAAGCACCTCACTTCCTCCAAGACCTTGAACCGATGGATACGCGCCCTCCGCGAGCATAATCTTGAAGAACTTCAAACTGGCCCTAGTGCTGGTGTTCTGATAGCTGCGTGCCGCCTTAGGCTCCAGGTGGACCCGATCCTGTGGTTGCCAATGACCGTGAGGGAACGCTACTGGGTTCTGCGCTGGCGTATGGGCTGGTTGCCTGGCAAGCCCATTCCTTGTGAATGCGGTACAGCCCGCACCTCCCGTCACCACCTCCTTGACTGCCTGTCTGCCGCAGTGCGCCTGGACCTACCGGCCACTGTTGAGCCCAACCCCATTGACCACATTCTCAACAACCTACCTTTGCGGAAGCCGCGCCAAGCTTCGCGCATCGAGTATCGGACCCGCATCGGGCCTCGCCTCCTCACACTCCTTGACGACATCGACCGCATCTGTCATACTGATGACAATCATCTTGAGCAGCCTGAATCTTTTAGTCAGCGCCTCATCGATTGGATGAACGAGCTAGCACCACCACCTCGACCTCGACCACGATCACTCACTTCTTCCTCCTCTTCGCCTCCGCACCACGACGACAGCCGGCCAGCACACGGCACCCAGCAGGTTCTGGTCAGCCCTCACAGCTTCAGGGATCGAGTACGCGACCTCTGCCGATCATGATAATTGATGGAAAAAATATTCAAAAGCAAAAGCAAAAGAAAAAAACTCAATACCGAAATCAACTTCTCCCACCCCCTACTGATCCTCTCCAGCAGATTCGAGCCCCCGACAGACGAGCCTGAGATTAATTTCTCAAATTCATGCACTTTTGCCTTTTCTTCTGCCCTTTCCCATTGCACTTCGAAAATGGGTTTTTGTACATATACTTCTAGCACCTCTGGGCAGGCATACGCCCCTGGAAGCAAGCCTACACACAGCCCACAATAAACAGTTTCATTCGAGGAGCTTTCTTCTGAACAGCGCAGTGTATCTTTAAGCATCGAGTCACTGTTGCGCGTGCATTAACCTCAGTTTTGCAAAGAGTGCGTGGAACAAGAAGCATACATGTCTATTTCTGGTAGGGATGCAACAAAACCATCAACCTCGATCTTTCGTCGTACCAGAGGTCCGCGAAGCCATAAAAGCTCAAGCTATGTCTGCATGCCTGAAGTGTTTCAACGAGTATCTGGTGACAAGGCAATACACTGGAAGCAATGGGAATTACTATGCATGCCTCTTTTTCTGGTCGGTCATGCTGACCACTCATGCCCAGTTATTTATACAATTATAACCGATTGCTTGAGTCTAGCTAAATCACATGGTCGGGGAGGGAAGCACATATTTGAGCAACGGTAGTTGGGGCGTGAGGGACACTATCTGGCGGTACGGACTCTCTGCCTACAGGCCTAATAAATGCCTTTTGGAATTCGTCCTTGATCAAACCCTCTGTGGATGGCGTAAAATACAATAAAATGATAAAAAGAAGCAAGAAATCCATTCCAGCAGAACGTAATGAAGATACTGCGATAGTGTCCAAGAGATGCGACGCATAGACAGGGGTACAGGACTGCCTCTCATTGAAATGTGGTCAGCCGACGGGGAACGTGTCCATTAACACCCGAACGCGTATACAGTAATCATTTCGTCTCGCAAGTAACTTCAACACCTGGCCGCGCTTATACACATCTGAATCCACTTGTCGAAGTGCTAATCGCGATACTATTGTTCGACTCAAGCAGGTCTCTCCCTTTCTCCT